GTGGCCATGCTGGTGTACGTACAATGATAATACTATCAAGAGACGATTTTATTGGCCAAATCTCGAAACGGATGTAAGAGATTTCATTAGAAAATGTTCTAAATGCTAAAAATATAAACATTGTAAATACATAAACCTATGACGATAACAACAACTGTTTCATATGCATTCGAAAAGATATATATGGATATAGTAGGCCATCGTCCCAAAGATTATTAGGAAAATGTGTATATAATAACCGTTCAGTGTGAGTTAAGCAATTTTATAGATGCTTATCCACTTAAGAATAAGGATTCCATTAGTGTCGCTAGGGCGTTAGTTGATAATTTTATTTTAATATTCGGCATCCCTAAAATAATAACAACTGACCGAGGAACTGAGTTTACTTCTGCCACCATGAAACAGGTGTGTAAATTATTAAACATTAATTATTTAATTATTAAAAATTATTTAATGGTTTACCTACAACTAAATTTGGCTAAATGTTGTATTATAACATATTCAAGAAAAAAAATTCAACATACATACTTTCAGTTATTCAATGTTTGGTGTTAAATTGCGAAGGGTAACTGAGGTGTTCGATAAGCATATTGAAAAAATTACTCTAAAATCTTACCAAGTGTTGGGCTTCATCTCAAGGCAAGGTACTGACTTTAGGAACCCTAATACACACATTATACTTTATAATACTTACGTTCGATCACATTTGGAATATGCATCGACTGCCTGGAATCCATGTTATGCTAAGTATATTCAAGCAATTGAAACAATTCAAAACAAATTTCTTAAAAAATTAAAATATAAGTTTGTTCACGTTTTGCCTACATACTCTACTGTCCTTGAAAACTAGACGAGAATATAGAGACCAATTGTTTCTATTTAAAATTATTAACAGCCTTATCTCCTCAATAAAATATTATTTAACTGTCCTCGCTTAAGTGCTCGGTACAAAGACACTTTCGCAACTCCAAATCATAAAACAAATTATTACAAAAACAGTTTTATAGTAAGATCGTGTAGCACCACAACCATAACCACATAGACTAGTTCAGCAGCGGTCTCAGTAAGTTTAACTCGATACTTAAAAATACTTAAAAATAATTAGATTAAGTTTTGTTATTGTCTTTTTTTTCTTTTTCATTTCACGTGATAAACTTTGGTTTGTATACATTTTTACACTTGTTAGTTTTCGTTTTTTTTTTAATTACCATACATTTAATTTTACTGTTTTATTTCGTTTATATATTTGTTCACTTCCAGATTAATTATTCGTGGAAACTGTATTGGCATTTCGGTTATTTAAGGTTTATGTAATATAAAATATGCTGTTTGTTTCACTTACTTACAAATAAAATAAAATAAATAAAATTACATCAACAGCATACCATCATCAGTCAATAGGTTCGTTAGAAATGCTCATAAAAAATTTGGCGCATTTTTACGAATTTAGTGCGACAAAAACAAGGAATGTTGGTCTTATTGGTTACCATACTGGAGTTTTATTTATAAACAGATACAAATATAGAAACTGATCCAAAGAAAAAAAGTGACGATGAGACTAACATAAGCTTAAGAGAAAGTTCTTGTTCTCCTTTCGACGAGAGATCTGAAGTTCAGTTCACCAGTTGTGACCGAAAACATTAAAGAAGAAAGATTTTTGTTGGTGAAGTTTGAAAAAAAGAAGACTGTTTTACATTATATCGGGCAGGTGAAAACAAAATATAACCCTACTGAATACAAAGTTTCATTTATGAGAAAGAAGCCGGGCACCTGGAAATTTGCTTTTCCTAATATTAAAGACGAAGGAACTGTTTATTTATCAGACGTGGTCCGTGTATTGCCTCCGCCTAAATCAGCTTCTACACCAAGAACAGCTGATATAATTAGTTTTGAGAAAGTTTTTACTATGTATAATGTGCAATAAATAACAGATTTGTTATGTTTTTTTAATAAGTTACCCTAATGGTTAAGTAAAATGTTTATTTTATGTCTAAGATTTAACAAAGTTGATTGTAAATGACTGTGTTGTTAATTATAACTACATTAAAGTCCATTTTGTGTTAATTTGATCTCAATAAATATATAAGTTCATATAAAAAGGTTTTTTATATACTATGTATGAATGTTCCCCGCTATGTACGAATGCACCTTTCCCTATGTACGAGGCTACGACGCGTGTGGGGTAGCTTCGTACGTTTTACATTTTTTAGAAATAGTACCTTTGCTTTATAATAGTACTTGATACCAGTTCTTGACTTTACTATAACTATAGCCAAATATATAAGGTATACAATAGCATTAAAATGATTTTGCAATAACGAAAAACTTTTCTGTTATAAAGCTAAAAGTAAAAAGTGTACGAATCCTACCTGCTTTCCCCTAACGAAAACATAAATTTGGACATTAATCGTCTCGAAAAAGATATTAATGCTACAACAGTCTTGGTATCAACATTGGCGGATCAGCTGCGTCTTAAAGAACAAGATGGAAGAAAAATAACCTTGAAATCTCTGGTATACCGATGTCACACAATGAAAACCAAAGAACAAGAATTCCACAAGTTTTCACAAACAAGAGAACAAATAAAAAAAATGGTCTAACAGAATATAATTCGGTTTCGAATCCCCGTGGAGCTCTCCTATTTGGGTAGTTCCTAAAAAGGCTGATGCTTCCGGTAAAACTAAATCTGTCTGGTTTATTTGGATGACGTCATCATATTTAGTACATCTTAACAGGAACATATGGTTAACATAGAAAAGATTCTGAAACGATCGCGTGAATCTAACATTAAGACCCAGATGGATAAATAGGAGTTTTTAAAATTAGAGACAGAGTTCTGATTAACTACATATAGTATGTAAGGATGGAGTAAAACAAAATTCAAATAAAATTAATGTCATAAATAACTGATAATAAAATACTAATAATTAAAAGATTTCTTGGCCTCTTAGCCTACTTTGTCATGCCGTGAAACTTGTAGTTGCACGATTCACGAAAACATGGACCTTCAACTAGCTGCTCTAAAGAAGGAAAATACACTTACAACAGTGAGTAATCATCAAAATATGTTGGAACTGCTTTGTTGTGATCGATATTCTGAAAGTTCTAGCGAGAACATGTAATAACTATTGCTCAAAACTCTAACTTATACAGAAATCAATAATTCAAAACCAATATTAATAAAACAGTGGGTGAGTAAGAAAGAGTCCATAATAGACCCGAAAACGAAGAAAGAACGATTTGTGACGAAATGTTAAATAGAAACACAGGAAATGTCACCTAGAAATGCCATTACAAAACTAGAAAATGATATGGTTAAATTTTTCCGGCATTCTTTTAACATATTACATCAGTACAATGCCATTAAGCAATTGAAAGAGTCTTTATCTGAAACCGATGTCATTGTGCATATGGATCTTTCCCAAAATTTAAGTAGGGGCCACATGTAAACGAACAGCAGACCAAGTGATTGCTACAGGAGGAGATATAACTAAACCTGAATGAGTTCGCTACTGTCATTCGTGAAAGATGCCATTAATGATAAGTCGTCCTAAATGGTCGCTTTTAAGAGGACATTATTGGTGAATCAGGTGACTGGCACAGCTTATATTCCCAACAATCTTATAATTAAGTAAAATTACCTCAAAATAATATTAAAGTCAAGTAATATAACATTATAAAAATCTCAAAAGGCTGTTATGAAGACTGGGATAGTTGACTTTCATAGTATTATATTGTTATTGTTCTTAATTTCATGACAATAGTACTTTTAAGATAAATATTGTTAGATTTTTGTTTCTATTGTTTTTTGATTACTTAGAAATGTTAAGACCCAGTTTCACCAATTAATGTTAAATAAGTAACATCTTGTTTTGTTTTTGTTAGTTGACTGAAGCGTGTTATTAATTTTTATTCATTTAAGTAACTGCATACTACTTTAGTTTTACGGAGTTTTCTGTTTTATTTAATTACCCTTAAATTTCAATAATATAATTTCTTAGCTAATAATGTTTCCTTTTTAATGTGAGCTCCTTATACTCTGCCCATTAGTGTATTTTTCAAAGTGGTTTTTGTATTCGAAACACTTCATTTAAGATAAAATGCCGCCCAGTATAAAAAATACATTTGCGAAATATTGAAAAAAATACAGGACGTAACGTTGATACACAAACAAATATTAACTCGCTCAAATATTATATGAAGCTGCTCATTTTGTATTTTAAGTAACTCATATTATTGTTTGTAAAATATTATTCTTTTGATTTTTCGTCACTTACAGTCAGTCGATCACTTAGTAATTATATAACCCGTTTTATTACTGCCCGAACTACAATTTACAAGCCGCGTAGTATTTACGGTAGTAATAGAGTATAAGATATAGGAACTCGAGAGTATTATAACATAACACAATTAGGTTCATATTATGTAATTAATGAAATAATTCAATATTGGTTGGTAGCGAGCCTCTGACATCTATATATCAGAGGCTCATTGCCGATATGTACCTATATGCAGACCAGTGCTTGTACCTCGCGAAAATAACGAACAAAGTCTAACAAAGAACACAACTAACATGGAATAAATACTGGAACCTAAAAAAAATATTCAAAAACAGCTTACCAACCAATATAAAAATGCCTCTTACCCTACTTAACATACGCCTGCCAAAATTGGAAATATACCAAAAACGTTAAAAGTAAGTTAGTAATATGTCAACGAGGCATGGAGCATAGCGGTTAAATTAAATTAAACATCTCAAGACAAACCCCCTGACACCTTTTGTTCCCTCGGGAGACCACCCTATAAGGAGATACAGGCATTTCCCTGGAAAACCTTCCCGGGGGCATAACTCACTAAAGGGTGGAAATAACCCTATCGAGTTTGGTATCGGCAGAAACGTGACATCGAGATCTACACGTTTATAAACACCAAATTAACATCCCGTGCACTCATCGCCCAAAAAACCAACAAAAATGGTCGATCAATCCTAAGAGCAAAAGTTGGCGCCAACATCTGGGCCATCCACCTCAACCAGTCAAAAACCGGCAAGGAAACCTGTTATTAAGACTGTCAAACAAACATCTACCAAAACAGCAGTAACACCAACAAAACAGAGGACTTTAAGGCAGAAAAAAAAGACGTTGGGCAGCAAGACCTCCATGCGCTTCGACATGAAGCTCAAGGGACCTATAACTGTACCAAATACAACATCAGATTTAATTTTAAACACCCCACCACACACAAGGCTACGTCACAGACATTTTATCATCAGCAGATTTTCGTCAGGAGGTTGCAGTGACCCTATGTAAAATGGGTACAAAGTCTGGTATGTCTGGCCGGGGTTCGCTGGAGACCAGGATTCAAGCCAAAAGGCACAAAGGACCTGCACAATACGTACCTCCAAGACCAGATAGGCCACTGGCCACAATGGTCTGAAAAAAAAATGAGGTGCAAGCTTCCAAATTGTATTGGATTTACGTATAACATGTGTTAGAAATGTGGGGTAGCACTGTGTTATAACAAAACTAAAAATTGTTTTAGAAATTTTCACCTATCATAATTTTTTCAGAAATAGGTTTCTAATACATAGTTTTATGTTTTTTTAGTCTTATGGTCCAGTGTTGCTTTAAAGCAACACTCCCCTTTTCAAAAAATATCTTCTAAACTATTTTAATAAATAAAAATACTGAAACACGTGTATTTTATTTTGTCGTTTTAAACCCGAATCCAATTTTTATTTTAACATCCACGTTCTTGAGTGATAGAGGGTTAAGAACAGTCCAATCCAGAACACTCAATTCTGTCGATTATGGATCCACACAAAATTAAAATCATTCAGTGCAATCTAGACAGGTCCAAACACTCTCTTAAAGGGTTCATTACAGGCTTTATTAGCCTACAGTAGCTCCAAAGTGGAAGAAGAAATATAGGACGAACATACCCGATGAGTTTTCAGAAGACGTCGGAAAAATGGATCAAGTACTAATGATGGAGAATGTTACGCCTCTTTCACTATTTCACCTTTTTTAGACAGAGCATTTACAGGACATTTTATGTTTTCAAACTAACCTTTACGCTACTCAATCTGGAAAGCCTTTTACTACCACAACTGAGGAGCTTGATGCTTTCATTGCCTTGAACTTGGTGGTGGGTATAAAAAAATTGCCGAGCTACAGAGATTACTGGTCTTCAGCACCTGATTTAACATGACAGTTGTCATGAGCTTCAACCGATTCAGTTAGTTGGCTTTTGAATAACTTGCACGTAAATGACAATAGTGTAATTACCAACAGAAACAGCCCAGACTTTGACAAACTTTATAAAATAAGACCTTTACTTGACATTCTGCGAAAAACATTTCAACAAAATTACAAGTTACTGTAAAAAGAACAAAATAGAGAATATTATTATTTTGATAATGATATTGATGTTTTAGAAAAATAATAAGTTTTATTGTGTTTTTTAAATAGTATTTTAGTTAACTTGTTTCTTGTTACAGAATTTAACGTTGATTTCCTGACGTTACTTATATTTTTTCTATAATTTGTAAAAGTTTAGTTTTTAAGTAAACTGTGATTTTAGAGTAGAGGTTTCAGATTAAAATTATAAGAAGATTATAAGTACGATTATAGAAATTCCACTAGACTGATTGTAACACACCAAAAGACATACATAATTATAAGAATTTATTAATATTAAGAGTTATTTCTCATGTGCAAACAAATAAATAACTTTGTTATTTAAACCGTTGTCTAAAGTCCAAACATTTTCTTACTTTACCTTATAATATCAATATCGTCATTCCGTCAACATGTTTGTCATTACGAGAACGGTTGATCATTTCCGGGAATATCACAAAATTTCAATAAAATACGCATAATTTGATGTATTATTTTTAAAAAAATATATTTATTACGTTAACAAACTTTCATTTTGTTCATTTAATGAAAATTCCATCGTAAACGTTTTGTATATTAAGAAATTTCTTGAATTTTATACACGGTAATAGCAATTTGTTTAATTTTTTGACGTATTTTGCTATATAAGATTTTATATCTTTTGTTTTCATTATTGGTTATATGATATTGATACATTTTATACCCATGCTATTTGACAACGCACAAATTATGTGTTATTTTTGTTTTTGGTCATTTTATTCAACTTAGAAAAACGTTCCCGGAATAACAATTTTCTGGTACATGTCCATTAAAAAGCAATACTACAAAAAAAAAATTGAATTCTGTGCGCTGCCCTATGAAAGCGTATTAACATATACATTTTGCGACAATATCAGCCAAGAGTCATCATTATAGCTTGCATGTTTTTTTTTCAATAAAACTTATCTTGAAATTCGCATGCTTGGTGATTTTGAGCCAGTAGTTTCTGAACCAAAAAGTAAAGCATTGTGATAGGTCCGCCATTTCGTATGCGTCATTGTTAGCCGTCAGTTACAAATTTTAACAACAAGTGAATTTGAAAGTTTTCATCTCGTGTTATTGAATAAATCTTGAAGCTAATCCAGATAAAAAAATATTTTATTATACTTTAATTGCAAGGTAAAATAACATTTTTCATTCGAATTTCACATTATAAATAAAAAAATTGCATTTTTTGCTTGTATCAGGAGGCGAAACTATGAATTTAGAGAAACTAAAAAGTAACCAAAAAGCATCAAAAAAATATAGGAAAAAGAAAAAGAAGTTTTTCAAGCTTTGGTAGCTACAAATCCTGGAGCAGAATCGATAATAACTTTACACAAGCAGCTCGGTCGCCCACGGCTGGAAAATGAAGACAATTTAATAAAAACTATTACCGAAATCGTAATGTATGGAAGTTCAGTGGATGAGAAACGTAGAAGAGATAATATTCTTTCTTACGGTGCAACGGACATATGAGACACTAAAGCCGTCCATAAGGACCTAGCAACCTGAACACATATCTTCGTGAGAAATGACACAGTTCGAGCACCCCTCACTGGGCCGTACGATGGACCCTACGAAGTTTTAAAGAGATATGAAAAAATATTTCAAGATAAAAACGCCTCTTCCCACTACTGTCGTATCGCTGGACAGGCTCAAGCCCGCCTTCATATGCAGTGACATGACAGTGACTTCAGGAGTGATGCATACAGCGTGAGGAGTTTCATCGAAGTGGTCAGACTACCGAGGCGAAGAAATCGCCATATATTTATAACCTGCGATTGAGACGTCCGATCGTGCTATCTCTCTCTAAACTACTCTGTACTGGAAAAATCGTCACTATAGCAACAGCAACCAGTCGACAGACCGAGGATTACAACATCAAGATGACAATCAAATCGAGGAACTTCAATACCATCAAAAATATAACGTCTTACTATACGAACGTAAACGATAATCGCTTCTCAGGCCAACATGACGCTACAGGATCTGGCTGATTTACCAGATAGAGTACATGACATCGCACCATCATCACCGCAGATGGCAGTCGCCTCAGTATCCAGATTGGAGTCGGCGATGGACATGGTGGCTCGACAAATAACCGAGCTAACGAAACAGGTCAGCGAGCTCACCACAAGACACCATCGCCCGCGTCCCAGAAGCCGACAGATGCCACATCAGAAGTCTCGATCGACTTCTAGAAGATCAATTACAAACTACAAGAAGTTTCATGTATGCTAGTATCATTACAAATTTGGCAACCTCGCGAAAAAGTGCATACCCCCATGTGACTATGATTCGGGAAAAGTAAGCGGCGGTCGGTAATGGCGACGTCCGATTGCCCTTCCACCACTGGTCGTCTGTTCCTCACCGATCGTGGTTCCAGGATGCAATTTCTCATTGATACGGGTAGTGATTTAAGTGTTTTCCCCCGAGCTGCGCTTCGTCAACCACGTGTGCGAACTGACTATCAATTGTGTTCGGCGAATGCGTATTCGCTTGACTAAGTGGGCCTGCGATTGACTTACAGAACATGTCGATTTTTGCCAAAAAAAAAAAAACATATTTTCAGATAAAGCTTTTTTAATCTTGGCGGGTATGTAAACAAGCAAAATTGACGCATTTGGGACACAGAAAAGGGAAAACCAACACGCATACATTGAAAAGCCGACGCCTCCAAAACAGTCACTGTTTGGTGCGGATTTCTGTCCGGAGGCATAGTTGGGCTATTTTTCTTCAAAAATTACCAAGGAGTGGCCTCTACAGTCAATAGCGATCGTTATCGGGCCATGTTGAGCCAAATTTTGTTCACAAAAAATTGTAGAGGAGGATATTGGCAACATTTGGTTTCAAGAGGACGGCGCTACGTGCCACAAATCCAAAGCTGCACTCGGTATTTTGAAATCGGAACTGCAATTTCGGGGACTCCTAACACAAGATAATTCAATTTCTTAAAAGGAGCTCCCTAGTTGAATCTATTTGTTTCTAGGTATAAGTTACAGTAATAAACAAATTTTTATTTTTTTTTTTATTTTAATTTGACACCGTTGGACTATCGTTAGTGAGGTACCGTCAAAGATAAGTGTTACGATAACTTGCCAGAGTAAATAGACGCTTCAAATGACAATATTCGTGAAGTCATTCGTGAAATACAGCAACACACAATCGATAATATGCTTAAAGATGGACCGATCGAGTAGGCTGCTGCATGGCCAGACGAGGGAGCCATTTGAATAAATCATTTTTGATTAACAATCGGAAAAATTGTTGTTTGGATACCATTGGAGCCCATTTATTTTATTTTCCCCAGTGCTCTTACTTTAATAACGATGCCATTCTAGCGATGTGTTGAACCTTAGCACAATACTCAATCATAAAATAAAATCTTTTCCTATAAGTTCAAACTTAAAAACAACGTAACGACATTATTATAGAAAAAAACGAATAAGAGAGCGAATTCATTCTATGAGATTATGAGAAAAGATATAGATGTTTCCATCAGCTACTGTTTTGTCTTCCAAAAAATTTTAGCTCTGCCGAAAACATGAGTGGGTGTACTATTTAAATTTACAAATTAGATTTTACAGCTTGTATACTGTGGATATGAAAGGATTAAACCCAAAATTTTACTAGTCAGAACAACAAGATGGAAAGGAAGTATGGAAATATCATTCCACATCTGACTTCCAATCACACGGACTTTTAGGACTGTTTGTTGATAAAAATAGAAATAATATTATAGTACATATGTACTATTTTTCACTTTATGCAAACTCATATAACATCACACACAGAAATTCATATGCACTTTCTGACCTGTTTACATTCACCTCAACTAGCAAATAATTCTAAAATATTCGCTTTTTAACCTATTGCTGTATTTAAATTAT